TCATGTCTTTTGTCAGTCTTTATCTATTTCAACCTAATGGCACCTAGTTTTTCTTTCTTTAAAATTCAACATTTCATGTAATGTAACCCACGATTTTTTCCATTCTGGTTCATTTCGACCAAATAGCAATTATATTTTATTTCCTTAAGATTCATAATATCATGTATTATAATCCACAACTTCTGTCCGTTTTCATCTATTTGGATCTAATGGCAATTAACTGGCATACTTTAAAAATCATAATTTTCATGAACTATAACCCACAAATTTTATAAATTTGTTATCGTTTTCACCCAATTGTAAGTAAATTTTATTTCCTCAAAACTCACTATTTTCATATGCTAGAACCAACAATTTATGTTCATTCTAAACTGCTTCAACCAACGGAGATTAATTGGCATACTTTAAGATTAGCAATTTTTATGGTTTATACCATTTTTGCTCACCATCATCTATTTTCGATCCAATAGAAATTAGGTGTTCTTTCCTTAAAATTCACTATTTTCATTGACTATAAATCCACAAATTTGTTCGTTTTCAACTGTTTTGATCCAATGGCAATTAATTGACGTACTTCAAATTTCGTAATTTTCATGGGCTATTACCCACATGTTTTGTAAATTTTGATCATCTAGACTTGATGAGAATTTAAAATTTCTTCCCTAAAATTCTCCATTTTTATAAACTATCACCAACAATTTTCATCCCTTTCGACCTAACGGTGAATAATTGGAGTGCTTCAAAAAATTTTAATTTGCACAAACTATAACCCAAGAATATTGCCCTTTTTTCGTAGTTTTGACTCAATTTGCAATTAAATTTCATTTCCTAAAAATTCACTATTTTCAAGTGATATAACCCATAATGTTTGCCTATTTTCATACGTTTCAACCCAATGGCAATCAATTGGCATTCTTCAAAATTCGCAATTTTGATGACTCATAATTCACTAGTGGTCATTTTGTAATGTTTCCCACCAATGGCAATTAATTTCATTTCCTCAAAATTCACTATTTTCATGTGTTGTAACTACATTTTTTGTCCATTTTTATTTGTTTTGACCCAAGGACATTTGATTGGCGTACATAAAAATTCGCAAGTTTCATAAGATATATAACCCACATTTTTTTCAATTCATCTATTTTGACCAAACGGCAATTAAGTGTTCTTTCCTTAAAATTCACTATTTTCAAACTATAATCCACAATTTTCTCCATTTTCATCTATTTTGATCCAATGACAATTAATTGGCGTACTTCAAATCTTGCAATTTTCATGGGCTATATCCCATAGTTTTTGTCCGTTTCGATCAATTCGATCCACTGGCAGTTAACTTTTCTTTCCTAAAATTCACAATCTTCATGTGCTAACTCACGAATTTTGTGCATTTTCATTTGTTTTGATCTATGGTAAATAATTAGCATACTTCAATTTTTACAATTTTCATGGGCTACAAATTACGAGTTTTGTCCATTTTCTATTGTTGCAATACATTGACAATTTAGTTTTCTTTCTACAAAATTCACAATTTTTATGAACTGTAACTCACAATTTTATCCATTCATTTGTTTTAATCCACTTGCAATTAATTGGTGTACTTTAAAATTTACCATTTCTATGGGCTATAACCCACAAATTTTTGTCCAATTTTGGTTATTTCGGTCAATTTTAATTAAGTTTTCTTTCCTAAAAATTTATTTTTTCATGGACTATAATCCACAAATTTGTCCATTTTCATCTATTTCGATCCCATGGCAATTAATTGGCATTGTTCAAAATTCGTAATTTTTACAGACTATAACTTCACAAATTATGTCCATTTTCATCTATTTCGATCCAATGGCAATAAAGTTTCTTTCACCTAAAACTAACGATTTTCAAGGGCAATAACTTACAATTTTGTCCCAATTCATCTATTCGACCCAATGACAATAAATTGGCGTACTTCAAACTTCGCAATTTTCATAGGCTATAACCCATAAAATTTATCCATTTTTGGTTGTTAGCCCAATGACAATTAAGTTTTATTTCCTCAAAATTCACCATTTTTATAGATTATTAACTTACAATTTTGTCTATTTTTATCTATTCCGACCTAATAACAATTAATTGGCATATTTTAAAATTCACAATTTTCATGGGCTACCCACATTTTTATAAATTTTCATTTAGTTTGACCTAATGACAATTAAGTTTTCTTTCTTTAGAATCCAATATTTCATCGACTAACCCACAATTCTGTTCAATTTTATCTGTTTCGAGCCAATGGCAATTAATTGGCATATTTCAAAATTTGCAATTTGCATGCTTAATGCACGATTTTTGTCCATTTTTTACATTATTTAATAGCAATTAATTTTTCTTTCCATAAAATTAACAATTTTCATGAACTATATCTCTCAATTTTGTCCATTTTACTCTCTTTTGACCCAATGGCAATTAATTGACATACTTCATAATTCGCAATTTTCATGGGTTATTGTGCATTTTTGGTTATTTAGGCCCAATGGTAATTAGGTTTTTCTCTCAAAATTCACAAGTTTCATGTGCTATAAGCCACATTTTGTGTATTTTTTTGTTACGAACTGAAAATTAATTTGAGTACTTAAAAAGGGCTATAACCCAAGATTTTTATCCATTTTAGTATATTTCGGTCTTATGAGAATTAGGTTTTATTTCCTTAATTCAGCATTTTTACGGATTATAACCAACAATTGTCTATTATTCATCCATTACAATTCAATGGCAAATAATTAGAATACTTCAAAATTCTCATTTTTCATATATTAAATAATCCACGATTTGTATCCACTTTTAGTAGTTTTGACCTAATGATAATAAAATTTTCTTTCCTCAAAATTTATTGTTTTAATGAATAATAGCCCACAAGTTTGCCTATTTTCATCTGTTATGGACCAATGGCAATTAATTAGTGTATTTCAAAGTTCGCAATTTTCATAGGCTATAACTCATGATTTTGATAATTTTTTATCATTCAAACCCAATAGCAATTAAATTTTATTTCCCCAAAATTCACCATTATCATGTGCTATAACTCATAATTTTTGTTCATTTTTATTTGTTTCAACCCAAGGAAAATATTTCGCGAACTTCCAACTTCACAATTTTGATGGGCTATACTCCATTATTTTTGTTTATTTTCATCTGTTTCACCCGAATACCAATTAAGTTTTCTTTTCTTAAGATTCACTATTTTCATGGACTATAATCCACAATTTTGTCTATTTTCATCTGTTTTAATCCAATGACTATTAATTAACGTACTTCAATTTTCATGATTTTCATTCGTTATAACCCTTAATTTTTTTCATTTTGCATTTTGATCATTTCAACCCACAATAAATTAATGTACTTCAAACTTTGTCTATATTCATCTGTTTCGACTCATTGGTAAATAATTGAGTACTTCAAAATTCTCAATTTTTATTGGCAATAATCCATAATTTTTGCCCATGTTCTGTAGTTTCGACCCAATGACAATTAAATTTTGTTTCCTCAAAATTCACCATTTTCATGTACTCAATTTTCACCTGTTTCTGTCCAATGACAATTAATTAGCATACCTCAGAATTCGTAATTTATAACCCACGGTTTGTCCATTTATTATTATCACTTCCACCAAACAGCAATTAAATTTTATTCCTAAAAATTTCACAATTTTCATGTGATATAACCCACATTTTAAAAAAAATCATCTAACTTTTTAAAAAAATATTAATTTTAACCTTATTAAAAGTAGAAGATTTTCATTATAATTACTATATTAAGATTAATTCAGCTAGAATATGCATTCTTCTAAACTAAAATTTGAAAAAGACAGTGATTAGCATATATTAGCTAAATATATTAAATTATTAGATCGAAAAATCCTAGTAATAACAACAGAAAATATTTTTCCCTACTCAAAATAATGGATAGGAAAATAGTCAACTTCATTCACACACACTATTTATAAATCAAGATCAATTTATAAGACTAAAATAAAGCATTTCAACATCAATCAACTAGGAAAAAAAACCTAACCCTTTCTGGATACAATGGCCAACTTCTTCACTTAATCATACATTTTTCACTGTCCAAGCTTGTGATCACAAAAAATATTTCTCTAAACTTATAAATGAGTAACTACAGGAAATGAAATTTGATCCACTGAAAACATAGAAACATCAATAGCATATAATACCCTGAAACCCTAGAACCAATTAAAATTTTATACTTGATAATGTTCTGCTCCAACATATGGTTGGTCAAATGTATTTAATTATATGTTATAAACATTTATGTGAGGTATCTCAGACTTTATCAACTCACTCTACTATTGCTTTTAATTTTGTATGGTATTTTAAGTCTTTATCAACTCACTCTGCTTCTGCTTTTAATTTTGTAAGGTACCTTAGCCTTTATTAACTCACTGAAACTGAAACTTTTATGCAAATAATACCTAACCCTCCACCCAACATCTTTCCATCTATCCACTCACTCTTCTAAGTTACCGCCTCCTCACGCAGAATTGTTAATCAGTCAAATGACGGGTTAACTTGGAGTGAAACTATCACGTAGGGGTTAGTTAACCCGTGATGATTTTTGTTGCCTGGGGGATTAATGAGGGGTTAAACCCCTTAACCCGTTACCAAATAAAGCATGTATGAATATTCTAACCATTTAGTTTTCCTTTCTTTTCGAATAAAAATTAAAAGACTCCTAACATGTGATTGCAAGGAACAAGTCACTTATAACAAACATGCAAGTTGGTTTTCATCAAGAACAAGGCCACATCAGCTAAAATTAGTTCTGTGGAGCAAGAAGTGTGTTTTTCACCAAAATGAATTGCATCAGCTATGGAGGGACAAGATTATTTAAGTAAATTCAGACTTAAGGAGGAAGGCATATTAAAAGTTGTAACAAACTAGATCAGCTTTGTATTATTAGGCCTGCTAATACATGTAAAAAGAAACTTTTGAAGGGATTTATGGTTTGACCTGATCATGGATATTGTACGGATGAGTAAAGCCAAAATCCAACATCAGTGTTGCATTGGGAAACTTCCCATATCTTATTAGAACCTGAAATGAGAACATGTCAATAATTAACATTTTTATGATAAAAGTACCTCATCATACCATCAAACATAAGCAATTTAATCATGTAAAATTTCCTCAAGTAAATTACATAAATTATGTAAATTAGCACTTCCATATACATAAACTGTATGTAGGACATCAATATATTTAATATATTACTTCATACTTTTAAGACCTTTTTCGGATATTTAACGATGTTGTGATTTTGTACTTCTAGATCTAAATCTGTGTGTCTTACACTTGAAGAAGATACTCCAAAAATTATCAATAAGCAACAAAACCATCTTTTGTAATTGAATTCCTCTCAAGTGATTATGTTTTTTGCTCCATTCCAATTAATATACTCAACTGTACTTGACACCAGAACCCTTGCAGCGAGCAGTGCAGTGATACAGTTCTGAACCTATTTACACCTTAGTTCTTTTCAATAGATTCATGTAACTTCCAAGTAACTAGAAGCTTCATAAAAGATCATCAGTTTGAGGATAGCTCAGACATATGTGTCGGATATATTTTTTTAGAAATTGGCTTTATGGGATATCAGATACTAGATGCTCCAAGGGATTCCAAACTGTTTCAGATCAAGGAGACCTCTTGGAATATCTAGGATATTATGGGAGATTTGTGAGAAAATTGAACCATCTAAGAGGAATCAGCCAGATCCGTTTATAAGTAAATGAGTCATTAGAATGGTGTACGTTAGACACTCCAATGCCTGAAGGGTACTCGGGAAGGGGTGTTTTGTCTTCAAATTGTGATTATAATAGCTAGATTTCCAGAAGCAAATTGGACAGGGTCATCAAGTGACAGAAGATCCACTAAAGAGCACTGTGATTTTGTTGAATGAAAGCTATACTAAGAGAAAAGGAAGCAGTGCTGTACCTTCATTCCGACCCCACCCACCCCCCCCCTCCCCCATCCCCTCCCTCCCCCCCCACACGCCCCCGAAAAAAACCCCAACCCCACCAAAAACAAAACAAAATAAAAAAGCCAAAAACCAACAACCAAAACACAGCCACACAAAAAATCCTGATTAATCATAATGATTGCCACTTTAAAGAGTTTCTTGCCAATATTATATAATAAGTTCGAGAGATTTCAAGAAAAACTCATATATCAGACCTGTTCGCCCACAGCATAATCCCGGTCAGCAATTACCTGCATAAGATAGCTTCACTAATCAGGAAAAGATAGTCACTCATACTGCTTCGTTTCACCCACTCTAATCAAGCAAAATAAACAGGTGATGGACATTGAAATAATATTTTGCAGGTAATGTAATTGCCAGAGGAAAGGAAACAAGTACTAAGCCTTCAAAGAACCACCCATTAACCCAAATCTTTTGAAGAACCTACCGTCATTAAATATCCTTCCACAGTACACAAAAAATAATGTTAAACATGTTAGTCCTCGAGGCAGAAGACTCTTGTCTAGAGATTGCTCAGGTGGAACAACAAACTATAAACCATGTGATTTAATTTGACTAAAATAGTATGAAACACATAAAAAAGAATAAAGCAGTTCACAACTTCTAGACCAGATACCATATTCGTAATTAGCAGACCAAGAAAGAATATCTCTTACTGCAAGCTTATATTAGATTATCCATATTCACTATTAACAACAGTTAAAAGGATTGAGAAGAGGGAAATGGGTCTTTCTTTCGAGTGTGCCTATTTATAGAGTAACTGTCAAAGCATCTTATTCTGCAAGTAAATCCCAAATGGAATATAAAGATTCTCAAACAGTTGATGAGAAATCTTAAGAAAATCCAAATTTTAATTTGAAGAGGAAGCTTGACAATTCATTATAACATGTTGTAAGAAAGTTTTTCTCCACAGAAATGAACTGAATACTGCAAAAGGATTAGCATCTAAGTTGGCTTTCAAATTACAAACACCTCACAGGCCAGATATTTTCTTGTGATCTTGATCTTGTGAACATCATTCTTGGTGTCCACTGTCCCCTTCTGTGCAAACGATTCTACACTCTGAAACACCCCCACCCCCAAAAAAAAATTTGTTTTCCAATAAGAAATGCAAACACATCCAACAGTTCATGAGTGATTGAGTACAACTAACCATTTCATTTCAAAAGACCCAACCTTTTCCCATCAAAATAGGGTTGTCTTAAAAGCAACACTCCATAAAAAATTTAACAAAAGCTTTATGAACAACAGTTGATTTGACGCCCTCCCTTATTACCAAATTCTTTCAGAGGAAACTACGAAGAAGAGGAGATTTATAATCGTAAAAACTAAAGACCACTTAGTAGCCTCCAACTTGTCCCAGACTGGGGCAAATAATATCCAAAATGATTGAGTTGCTATAGAGAATTACATTTGAGTCCTAAAAAGATATAATGCCAAGAGGTAAACAGCATGTGTTCCCACTCCCACATCTTGCACAGCAGCTGCAGATGATAATGCTACTGACAGATGCCCTATCATGTTGACATGTACTCCTAACTGAATCAGCATACTCCAAAATCAAGTACTAGGATTAAGGACTGTTACGAAATGGACGGAATATGAGAACATTATGGCAGCAAATTGGAGTTGAATCAATGAATACTATTATATTAATATCTAATCACTAGTTGGAGACCATACACCTTAGTTTCATACAACTCATAGGAGAGTGAGGCTGCTTACATCCAGCTTCCTCAAAGCCTTCTGGTTTTGGCTGCCCTTTTTTTAATGTAAGCATGGCATGTGTGGAAAGATTAGGAATATGAGGGAATAGCAATTTGGCATAGTCATGGATCCGATTTCAAAAAGAATTAATTTTGAATCATTTTGAATCTGAATATAAACCTTTCTATTTTCAGCGTGAACAACTTCGAAGTGATGATGTGATGAGGTTTGGCTCTATATGGCTACTCTGCTATATGACACATAAGTGTTAATAGTTTCAACATGTTTTGGATTATGTTAAGCAGTTACGGTGAACATCGCTAATGAAGGAGAATTGTAGGGGAGAATGGAGGGAAAATTGGTGAACTTATTGGACTTGTTAAAAGAATTTTAGAATGGTTTAAGTGTGTCATTTGTGTTTAAGAGTGAATGTAAAGGGGAATTTTGTTTGACAATTGTTCATATGTAAGTACGAAGTTCTTGTTTGATGATTGTAGTATGTACAAAGGAGGTGAAGTTCTCTCCAGTGACAAGAACTTGAACACTATTGATGTAACATCTGGGAGGAAGCAAGATGGCTCTATGCTGCAAATGTCTAAATCATCTTCTATCATTCAATTTTTTTCAGTTACATTCCCAAACAAATAGAAACATAAAAGACACTAAGCTAACACAAGAGATCAAATCTTATAATCATTTCTTACAAGAAAAAAGAAGAAAGTACCTCTGATGTTTCTTTAATATCATCGCTTAGCAACACGGCCTCTGAAATCCCATCATGATTTAAGAAATCTGCAAATGGGATCTAAAATCTACTTTACAAGTCAAGCAAGCAAGCCACCATGCATTAAAGTTTAGTCCCAAGGAAGAACTCCATGTAATGAAAAAAAAAACACAGCACAACAAACATACCAAAGATATGCCCTTTGAAGTTCTCCATGCTCGAGATATAACTGCAAAGATTTCATATAGTCACCGTCATAGAATACATTAAATTGTGTCAACTGATTTTGGAAACAACAAACATACATGAATATACCAAAGCACAAAGGTAGTGCCTTTTGATTAAATATATCCATGAATAAACCACAAGTAACCCCTCATATTCAAAAGTGTTCCAAAAGAAAGTGATGATTGGTAAGGCGGAGACCTGTGTCGGTGTGGACCAAGATCAGATAACAATGCCATAGGCAAAGCCCAATATAATTAAGGAGCTTAAATACATAATAACAGTGATGTGTCTGTAATAGATTCTTCCAGTGTGCCTATTCTTCGGTTTCAATGGAGGGGGGCAGTGGCGGGTCCAGAATTTCTAGCGTGTGATATCACCAATAATTAATAAACTTACAATTGTCCTTGATGAGTTTCATATTTTAAAAAAAAAATATAATCACATCACTAATAACACTATCAAATGCATCTTTTTCAATATGTCACTAAATAAACGTTAAGGTGATCTTCTCATTGATTAGTGACACTACCAATCACCGCATCATTAATAACACTACCACTCATCCCTGCAATAAATTCTAACAAAATCCCTTATTTTGTTTATTCTAAGAAACTTGATTGAATTTTATCAAATAATCACTTTTGATTTATTACAAACATGTAACCAAATTAGATTTTTTTTTACTTGTTGCACTTACTCTTCTCTATGTATTTCAAAGTTCAAACAAGTACCCTTCACTATGAATCAAAGAGTTGGACTCTCTTTATTAGAAGAAAACAGAAATCTTTCTAAGATAAGTGCTATACGAGAAAATGTATTCTTGTAACTAATAAGATGAATTATGAACCCCTATGTCGTATAAATACCTTGAGGAAGTGGTGTCACGCGACACCACTTCCTCTAAGGTAGATCCGCTAATGGAGAGGGCAGCAAAACATAATCAGGGTAGAGAAGCATCAGGAGCACATTAAGGTTTGTGGAAACTCATAAGCTAAGTTGCACGGAAACGGGTAAGGGTACCGGTACGGGTAAGGGTAAGGGTACAGGTGCAGGACACGACAAATCTTTGAAACATAGGGTATGGGGACACGGCTACATGTATATATTGAAATTAATAATTTACATGAGATCATTATTATTTTACAATTCATGTCCTATTTGAACTCAAATTCCTATCATATTTTAAGTTTCTTTTATTATGTTGATTATTATAAACGAAAACTGCTTGTATTTTTTAACTAGACACCCAAACCACCCTTTTAATTCATAATTTTTACCTTGAATACGGGCTGAAACCAAGGTTTTAAATATCGGTTATCGGGAATTTATCGGACAGCCAAAATCCTTATCGGATAGCGGAAATCGGGGATATATCGGGGATAAGTAGTATTTATCGGAATGATATACTGGATGATGTGTATATATAATATAACAATTAAAAAATATAATCTAATCATGCTTAATGAAATATAAACATACCAAAATGTAAATCATCATGTTTAGAATCACTAACAAATTGTAGAAAGTGAAACTTGCATCATAACCTTGAAAAAATATAATGTTAGTCAAAATGGACCGATAATCCTGATAATCCCGATAAAAAAGTCTTACTTATCGGCCGATAAGTGCCGATAACGCCGATAAATCGCTGATAAACCTACAAAAATGATAACCGATTAAAAATCCAATTTATCCTAGCGGAGAGCTCCCAAATCCGATAACTTGGCCGATAATATCGATTATCGGCCGATATTTAAAACAGTGGCTGAAACAAACCTGACTCATGCCTAACAAGTTTCAAGAAATGAACATGAAGTGTAGGATATACGTCTGAGAAGTATATGACAAGTGTTTTAGGTTAAGACATATATCATACAATTGAGTACATGTCTGAATGAATGCATGGATATACTCAAGGAGTGTCCATGAAGTTTGGATATGTGCACAAGTCTGGTACGTGCCCGCAACAGGTACGGCTTCATGCTTCATTATAGAAATACCCAGGTACATAGCTCATAGGAGTTGAAAGTTGTTGGAACTACACTTATGAGGACGACGACGACGACGACAACAAAGAAGCACAAGAAAGCCTTTTCCTCAAAATACAATGAATCCTTTTTCCTTCATTCAGCTTTGAAATATTTGCAGAAAAACTTCAACCAAAAAAAAGTGGTTTGCTATTCTTCTTTTAGGCTAGGTGCTTCAACTTTTTTTTCCTTTGTAGGTTATCATAAAAAATTGGTTTATTTGTCCAAGAAGCCTGTGAAGACTCAATCTTTTAGAAGTTATAGATGATGATGATAACGACAAACAAGAGGCAAGTAAGAAACCTACTAAACTGCTTATTAGATCTTGTCTTTTAATCCTACTACCATTACAAGTGAACAGATATTGATGTAGGACATCTAGAAGATCATATTAGTTAGGATTTCTTTTAAGAATATGATTTTGAGATATTTGTTTAGGATTGGATCTATTATCTAGTTATATTTGTTATCTTGTTGATTTTGTTATTTTGTTAGATTTGATGTTATCAATTAGTTAGGATTATGATTTTACTTGTTGATTTTGTTATTTTGTTAGATTTGATGTTATCAATTAGTTAGGATTATGATTTTATTTTATGGCTATAAAAAGGATTGTACTTTGTTAGATTTGATGTTATCAATTAGTTAGGATTATGATTTTATTTTATGGCTATAAAAAGGATTGTACTGTTTCATTTTGGAAGAAGGAAAATTGATGAATAAAATATGAGTTCTGAGAGATGTTTTGGAGTGATTTCATAGGCGTGAAGCCATATTTTTTTGATTAGGCGTCCGTGTGTGAAACCGGCATTTTCAATTGTTTTTAGAGGTTAGATGCTGCAAGTGAATCCGGTCTAGCCTATTTATCTTTTATCTTTCTTTATTTAACCTTTTATTGACAAAAGAATTTAAAAAAGCGAGAAGTTATTGTTCACGCGAACTGTTCATCCAAGCACTATTCATCATTACTTTCGTTCTGCATCAGATATCCTCACTTTAAATTGCATTAATGAACTTTCCCCAATATCAATTTACCAATAGCATTCATAAGAGCTGCGATTCATAACTTATATGGTAGCATCAAGATTATTGTCAGAAGGCAACAATAAGGGGCTGTCCCCTGAATATCAGTAAGCACTGAGCAATAATAAGACCATATGGAAAAACTGATTCCTGTCCATTGTCAAATGTCTACAGCCACTAAGAAATGTTTCATCAGGTTGTTGTAAGTTGTAACATTTTGACTGATTCCAGCAGACTTAAAACCAGTGAAAGATATAAATGTAATCTGCACAGCACCTGAATTCTTATTTGATGCCTCACTTATATGTTCTATATCAACCCACAGTGAAGATAAAACAAAGGTGGAATTGAAAGTATGCCATGAAATCCAATAATGTTAATCAAATAAATAATAAATCCAGCAACAAGCTGAAAAAACAACTTTTTCAACACCAAACTCACTGGTATACACAAAACTAAAGGTCCATATCAAAATAATAGCATCAACGAAGCCTTCATGCCCAATTTATGGGGATCAGCTAGTAATTAGAAGGTCAATATTCAAAACAAGGAACCTACAGCAATACTCAAGTGACACACTTAACATCAGTGATTTCAAAAAGAAAAACAAACTTAAAAGAGAGAATGAAAATGAAAATGACCGCTACATAAACGAAGAGCATAGAAAGAAGCTTGCAAAAAGACAAGAAGTATCGAAGATAATGGACCTGTATATACTTGACAGTAAAGAGAGGAACTACACTAGGTATACACAGTATATATGACACGTACTCAGCGCACATGCATACATGAAATCCTCCAATTTAATATCCCCAATATTTTGGTGCCAACGATCCAGAACCTAATAGAAACAGGAAGTCTTTATTAACATTAAAAAAGTCACATACCTCTGAAAATGATATAGGCGAAAACAACACGCATACCACTATTATCTATGGTATGACACACCATGTAAAAGAATATAGTGGCACGAAACCATGATAGCATACAGACGAGAATCTGACTTGCAACAAATTCAATCTTTGGCATCTTTTGAGTTATTTTTGCACCAGTATTAACTCATCAAATTAAGTGAATATGCTACCACTATAAAGGAACACTAAGACTTTCACTTTTGTTATGTGTGTGTTGTGCTTGTGAATCTGTGAAGTGATAATTAGGGGAGTTAATGCATGAAAAGAAACAAAGAGAAGAAAGTTGCAGCTCTTTTAGAATGTAAGACTTTGAAGAAACCAATTTAGCAAACTTATCATCGACATTCTCATTATTTTAAGCATATATGCAACACTTTACGCCCTTGAAAAGCATCAGCATGTAAAGGTATAAGACTATAAGTTCTGTTCTTTCCAACATCTTTTTTAATGTGTAATTTACCCTGAGGATGCTCCATTTAAAGAAAGGAAAGATGAAACCTGAATATAATCTACAGATAATCTGATGGGAAGGGAAAAAAAAAAAGAAGTGTGTTCATCTAGATGACTTGCTAATAGACTTTAAATTTATACCAAGAAAAAGGAAGCACCATCTTATTTGGGCCCATGGCTGAAATTCTTTTTCAAAACCTTATATTTCTTAAAACCAACTACTAAAACTAGAAACAGTCAAGCATCCATGTAGGACACCTATCTGCAAAATAATTGCATATGATGAAGTAGCAGTTGAAATAATTGATCAGAGAGAGAAGTGCTTACAGGTTTAAGTGCCAAGAACTCCTTTTCTAAGTGGGCTTTCTGATCAATAATCTCCTGGTAAATTGAGCTTGCTCGAACCATAGTTAATTCTTCTTCACTCCAAAACATCTGGAATGACAACCAAATCGTTTTGCCTATTTAAGACTATAAATGGTTTTTAGTAATGAAAATGCCCATTGTTTGGCAAGTTGCGGAAAACCGTTCTAGGATTGTATTCATTACGAACCAATAGTGCTTATTTAGCCTATAAAAATAAAAACCTTGATTCCCTTTGGTGTTTGAGACCCTTGAGTGTGGAAAGCTCTGCGCCTCAATTCATTAATGTCCAGGGTCTATTCAGGCCCAAAATCAACAACCAAACCGAACCCATGTTGTCTCGGATCGTTTTTGAATCGAAATCGGTATGATAAAATTTGGTCAAAACCAAACCGACCGACTGTTTGCTCACGTCTTTTAACATGCAAGTCTATTGTACTGAATTTTCCCCCCCATGGACTGCATAAGGGATTGAACTTTATTAGAACGTCTCCAACTCAACGTCAAAAACCCAAATTGACGCAAATCTTTCGTCAAAACTTCCTCTAACCGAGCGGCAAAGTTAGCGCTATTTTAAAGCGTTGCTACAGTGTTGCGCCAGGAATGGCGCAACGCTGTAGATATGGAGTTTTTTCCCAAATTTGCCGTTAAAGTTTGTTATAACAAATCAAATATTCCAACCATATCCCATTTTATCCATCATATTTCCCATTTTATTCTATTTAGTTTTTTTTGTATTAATAATACTAGTATTTAGACCCGTGCAAAGCACGGTTCCTAAATGATTTTTCTGCAAATATTGAACATGTTACAAAAGTAAAGTATTCTGCTTTAGATATAAAGTATAGTGGTGGAAGTGAACCGAATAATTAATAAACAATTTGGTTATTATTTGTCCAGATATTTGATCATGTTCGATTCAATAACTACTTCATTAATCAAATTTCTAAAGATCAAATAACTACTCAAAACTGAAATCGAAATAGCACAATAAATGTCAATTTTTTCAGTGCATAAATGTGTGAAAATATTTATCTAAAATTTAAATATAAAAAATAAAATAAATTTACTGTTTCATAAATGTGATAAACCGAGTTGACACTCCAATTCAATCCATCCATCATCATCTCTGACGTAATCAATCTCCAATCCCTAACCCACGAACAAACAAAACCCATTAAAACACCAAATCTTCATTAAAAAAGCAAAAAATATTAACTAAATCAAATTTAAACATAAGGGTTAGCATCTTCAGAGTTAGGCACTATTAAGATTAACTAAATCAAATTTAATCATTATAAATAGAAATTAGCATCTTCATCATGCTAAAAGAAGTAACTAAATAATCCAAAAAACAACAATCTGAGGCTCAAAAAATTAGAATTTAGATCAAATTCATCACCATGATTTGTATATCAATCAATTCCTCTAGAAACTAACTAAAAAACTTTTTATGCAGAAAACCCTCACAAAAAAGTTACAAAATCCTCGATTGGAGATCACTGAGAGGTTGAGATGGTTAAGAGCAGTTAGTGGCCCTCAACCTTTGATATAAAAGGGAAGCTTCACGGATATTCCATGGAAATGGAAACATATACTGCTTCTTGTTCATTTTTATTGGAAGAGAAACTAACATGTCTCTATTTTCAGTAGCAAAAACATAAGTATCAAGCCAAATCAGCAGAATGAGTAAAAGATAATAAATTAGTATTAGAGCCACATACACCAATGCTCTCAATATTAATAAAAAATTATAAAAAAACAAATTTGAAGAGGAAATTTTACCAGCGAAGTTTTTTTTAAGGTCTCAAGAGATCGATCAAAAGTTCTTCTTTCTGATTCTTATTCCTTCAATAATCACCTGAATAAAAAAAATTGGAGATAAAAGAAAGGACTCGTTCGGAGTCAACCAGGGTCAATTGTGATGATAGTTCACGGGAAAAGGATGATTAAAATGTGATTTGGTGAAAAATTACATTAAATTTTATGGAGTTTCTGCGTGGTGGTGATCGGAGCGAATGAAAGAGGGCCGAAAAAATCCATGATATCGGATTCGAGTTGTTTTGGTCTCCAGAGATCGCCTCCCCCCTTTTTTGAATTCTGGCATTATAAAAAATCCAGAGATCACTCTCAGTGATATATCAGAGGAGACGTGGGAGTTAAGGTGGTTATTTTTGGAGAGAGATCATGGGTTGTATGAAACATGGGTTGGTTATTCATTTTAATTGTTCATAACCTTAGGTTACTATTCATTTTAGTTTTTTTATTGTTCTCCTTTAGTAATAAAGAAATTTAGATCAAATTCATCACCATGATTTGTATATCAATCAATTCCTCTAGAAACTAACTAAAAAACTTTTTATGCAGAAAACCCTCACAAAAAAGTTACAAAATCCTCGATTGGAGATCACTGAGAGGTTGAGATGGTTAAGAGCAGTTAGTGGCCCTCAACCTTTGATATAAAAGGGAAGCTTCACGGATATTCCATGGAAATGGAAACATATACTGCTTCTTGTTCATTTTTATTGGAAGAGAAACTAACATGTCTCTATTTTCAGTAGCAAAAACATAAGTATCAAGCCAAATCAGCAGAATGAGTAAAAGATAATAAATTAGTATTAGAGCCACATACACCAATGCTCTCAATATTAATAAAAAATTATAAAAAAACAAATTTGAAGAGGAAATTTTACCAGCGAAGTTTTTTTTAAGGTCTCAAGAGATCGATCAAAAGTTCTTCTTTCTGATTCTTATTCCTTCAATAATCACCTGAATAAAAAAAATTGGAGATAAAAGAAAGGACTCGTTCGGAGTCAACCAGGGTCAATTGTGATGATAGTTCACGGGAAAAGGATGATTAAAATGTGATTTGGTGAAAAATTACATTAAATTTTATGGAGTTTCTGCGTGGTGGTGATCGGAGCGAATGAAAGAGGGCCGAAAAAATCCATGATATCGGATTCGAGTTGTTTTGGTCTCCAGAGATCGCCTCCCCCCTTTTTTGAATTCTGGCATTATAAAAAATCCAGAGATCACTCTCAGTGATATATCAGAGGAGACGTGGGAGTTAAGGTGGTTATTTTTGGAGAGAGATCATGGGTTGTATGAAACATGGGTTGGTTATTCATTTTAATTGTTCATAACCTTAGGTTACTATTCATTTTAGTTTTTTTATTGTTCTCCTTTAGTAATAAAGAAGTAGATATACTATTTTTTATATTAACTATTATAATGAAATTAGAGTATAAAATAATTATTAAAATAAAATTCAAAAAGGAAAAAATAGATAATTTAATACAAACACTTAAAATTTCATAATACTAGAACCAAATGAAGAAATAAGAAAAACTTACATTTAGATAAAAAAACTTACACTTAAAATTTAATAATTATATAATTTGTTAAATATTTTAAATAGATAAAAATATTAAAAGATAAGAATAATAAAAGGAAAATTTTTTTTGGTGTAAATGGGTTGGAGATTGAATAGTGATTTGGTGTAAAAACTACACCATTTTGGTTTTTTTGGTTGGAGATGCTCATTGTAATTCTTGATCAAATTCTTCCTTGCATTATGGATTTGTTAACTTTAACTGATACATACTAATTTTGATTTATTTTTCAGATGGAAAACAAATGATTGGAAGGAGTGTTGGTTTGGGTGTAGACCAAACCTGCATGCGAGCTTGAGACGACGGTGAGGAGCTTCAGGCGAGGAGCTCTAGGAGAGGACGAAGCCCAGGCAAGGTCGACGAAGATCCACAGGCGAACTCGTGAGCGGGCGAGATCCAGAAGCAGGCGAGCTCGAGCGAGGTCAGGCGAAGTCGATGACAAGTTCAGGCGAGCTCGTGGTCGAACAGTTGGCGAGCTTGAGCGGGGGTTGCAGGCGAGCTCGTGGTTGACATCAGGCGATCTCAAACGAAGCGCAGGCGAGGGCGGTCCGCAAGCGAGCTCGAGCGTGGGATCCAGGCTGTCGACAGCTCAGCTAGGGTTTCCCTATAAAAGGGAAACCCTAAGGCACGAGATTTGTGCTGCCCCTTTTTTTTCTTCTCTCACGCGATCTCTCTCTCTGCTCTCTTCTTTTTCTCCAGCGTTCTCTCAAAGATTTGAGGGGAGGGGAATTTGATTAAGAAAGGAAATTGTTGATTGTGAGGGAGTAATTATTGAGGGGAATTTATTAAAGAGGGGAAATCAACACTGTAGCTACAATGTTAATTTGTATTTATTGAGATATCTTAAGTTTGAGATCTGCTCTTGTATTGTAATTTCTTATTAATTAATAAGAAATTAATTATGTGACTGCCGAGGACGTATGCAAGTTTGTCGAACCTCGTAAATCTTGGTGTAATTTTCTCTATTTTGTATTTTGTTGTTTTGGGGGTTTAGCGTATCCCCGGGTATTCCCAACAACTGGTATCAGAGCTTGGAACGATCTAGAGGAAGTCAGATTCAAGTGGAAGCGATGGCTGCAGATGAAGGAAATGTGAGATTAGAGAAGTTTGATGGATCAGATTTTGGATTCTGAAAAATACAGATAGGGGATTATCTATATCAGAAAAATCTGTATCAACCTCTTTCAGGGAAGAAGTCAGAGGGTATGAAGGAAGAAGATTGGAATCTTCTAGACAGAAAGGCCCTCGGAGTTCTTCATTTGGCGTTAACCCACAATGTTGCTTTTAACATTGCAAAGGAAAAGACCACGGCATGTCTTATGGCAGCACTCTCAAATATGTATGAGAAGCCATCAAGCTCAAACAAAGTTCATTTGATGAGGCAGGTATTCAATCTGCGAATAACGGAAGGTGCATCGGTAGCACATCATCTCAATGAACTCAATACAGTCACGACCCAATTGAGTTCGGTTGATATTGAGTTTGATGAAGAAGTACGATGTTGATCCTTTTGTCTTCCCTACTAGAAAGCTAGAATGCTATAGTCACAGCTGTGAGTAGCTCGTCGGAAAGCAACAAGTTAAAGTTCAACAATATTCGTGATCTGGTTCTTAGTGAGGAGATCCGACGGAGAGAGTCGGGTGAAGCTACAACCTCTTTAGTATTACATACAGAGTCAAGAGGTAGAAATTCAACTAGAGAAAATGGATCAGAGGACATGAGGTCCAAATCCATGAATCCTAGCAGCTCGAAGGGTATCGAGTATTGGAAATGCGGGAAGCCGGGCACTACAAGAATCAGTGCAATAGTACACAGAAGGAGTGAGAGGCAAAGGCAGATGCAAATGTTGCTTCCACCTCAGGAGGAGATGATGCATTGATATGCTCTTTGGAGAGTAAGGAAGAGTCTTGGGTGTTGGACTCTGGAGCATCATTCCATGCTACTTCTCAGAAAGAATTCCTCGGGAAGTATATCTCCGGAAACCTTAGAAATGTATACATTGGTGACGATCAACCGTGTGCCATTTATTAGCAAATGTGTAGTGAAGATTAAGTTAAACGGGTCAGTATGAGAGTTGAAGGATATCAAGCATATTCCCGACTTGAAAAAAAACTTAATCTCAGTAAGTCAGCTGGCTAGTGAAGGCTACACTATGACTTTCCATGGTGATGATTGGATGATTTCAACATAAGATCCAAGAAAGTAAGAATCCAACGGATATGTTGACAAAGACAGTGACCTTTTAGAAACTGGAGTTATGCGCAACTTCAGTTGGCCTTTATATATAGGTGATGAGGGCGAAGCCACATAGGGGAAAGTGCTTGTTGAGATAGTCTGCTGACGGCGGTTTGGTCTTCAAGTGAGAGATTGTTGGTTTGGGTGTAGACCAAACCTGCAGGCGAGCTTGAGACGACGGCGAGGAGCTTCAGGCGAGAAGCTCCAGGCGAGGACGAAACTCAGGCGAGGTCGACAGAGATCCACAAGTGAGCTCGTGAACGGGCGAGGTCTAGAAGCATGCAAGCTCGTGGAAGGTGAGCTCGAGCGAGGTCAGGCGAAGTTGACGATAAGTTTAGGCGAGCTCGTGGTCGAACAATTGGCAAGCTCGAGCGGGGATTGCAGGCGAGCTCTTGGTCGACATTAGGTGAGCTCGAACGTGGCGCGGGCGAGGGCGGTCCGCAGGCGAGCTCGAGCATGGGATCTAGGCTGTCGACAGCCTGTCGACAGCTCAGCTAGGGTTTCCCTATAAAAGGGAAAC